TAGACCAAGGTTCAATATTTAGGCCATGTGGTGTTAGCCGATAAGGTGATGACTGATCCAGAAAAGATCAATTGTATACATAAGTATCCCATACCAACAATAGTTAAAAGCCTACGTGGTTTCTTGGGCCTTATAGGGTACTATAGGTGCTTTATCCCCAAGTATGGGTTCTTGACTGCACCATTAATTCAACTCTTGTGCAAAGAGCCTTTCATATGGAATGATTATGCTCAACAAACCTTCAAGGAACTAAAAAAGGCAATATCTACATCTCCCACACTGGCCCTCCTAGATTTCTCTAAGACATTTACTCTCGAATGTGATGCATCTGGAAGAGGATGAAGTTTGGGCCCACAAGTAAAGTAGTGGATACCCTCTTTCGCTTTCATGAATTAGGCTAGTTAAATCTTTCCAAGCCCACTTATTCACTGTCAGACTATATCAATAAGGAAGCCCAAAAATATCAACACATATCTTAGATACATATAAAATGGGCTCAAGACCCAAGTAGCCAAGTTCAATGTCTGCCTCTCAATTGTGGGCTTAGTCCTTTTTATAAAGGCTGCATGGTTCTCCCAACACATTCGACCTACACTGCTGACCTGTTAGCCCTTTTTCATAACTCAACAATAGGAGGACATGTGGGTATCTTGAAGACTTACAAGCGATTGTCAACCCACTATTATTGGGTTGGCATGCAATGGACTGTCAAGGAATTTGTCATAGCTTGCCATATCTTCCAACAACAAAAGTATGAGGCTCAAGCACCAAGTGGACTACTACAACCCCTAAAAATCCTAAACCAAGTGTGAAACAAAATCTCAATGGACTTCATTACAAGACTTCCATCTTTGAAGGACAAAACTGTCTTCATGGAAATAATTGATCGTCTATCAAAATACAAACATTTTATTCCGTTATCACATCCCTACATATCAACTTCAGTGGCATTCACAAAGGAGATTACTCAATTACATGGCACAACACGCACCATACTTTCTGATCAAGACAGAGAAATCATGAGTAATTTTTGGCAAGACTACTTCAAGTTGCAAAGTATGAAGCCAAATCATTCCACTAGCTATCACCCCCAATTTAATAGCCAAACAAAGGTAGTAAACAAGGGTATTGAGACATATCTATGGTGCTTTGTTAGTGATAGGCCCAAACAATGGAGCACACGGTTACCATAGGCGGAATATTGCTATAATACCTCCAACCATGTTTCTGCTAACATGACACCCTTTAAGGCACTATATGGGTGTGAACCTCCACGCTTCCCTATGAGTACAACTCAACAACCAATGCAACTGTGGAGGAGCACCTAACTACTCGATGTTTTCAGAACTCAAGTCGAATCTGGAGCAGGCCCAATAATACATGAAACATTACTATGATAAGAAGCATTGGCCCATGGAATTCCAAGCATGAGATCTTGTTTATTTGAAGTTATGCCCATACAAACAGTCCTCCCTGGAAAAACGGGCCAACTTTAAACTCTCTCCTAGGTATTATGGTCCCTACAAGGTTTTACAACTCATCCACTAGCATATAAACTAGAACTATCAGCCTCATCAAGAACCCACCATGTATTTTATACATCTTTCCTCAAGAAATCAATAGGGTCATACATACTAACCTCGTAACCATTACTAGATTTTATAAAAGATGGCCTAGTCTACCTCCCATCCAAAGGAAATTGTGGATATTCATTAGATAAAATCAGGCCAAAAATTTATTAAGGAGGTCTTTGTTAGGTGGGAGGGATTGCCAAATGAAGAAGCTACTTGGGAACCTCACATTACGCTGATACAACGGTTTGCATTCATTGACCTTGAGGATGAGGGCCATCTTGAGGAGGGGGGAGTTGTTAAGGACTCTTTAGGGAACCAATTCAAGCCGATGGTAAACACTTATTTCAGGAAAAGAAAAAAGAAGCCACGTCAACAACCATTAACAACAGAAGAAGATTTGGCAACTAAGAACTTAACTAAGGATGCAAGAAGTGGTTGCAAGATGCAAACTGTACAAAACTGTTGTAAATCTATTGCAGTGTAACCAAAAAAGGTATAAAAGGACTATTAGGAATTACCTTGAATAACAAGAAGAATCCCAATTTCTCATTTTCTCAAACCTCTAACTTTCTATAGGAGGAAATCTCCCTGGAAGAAAAGTCTGAGTTGGGTAGAATCTCAATAGAAACTTGTAAAGAAACTGCTATGCCCTTATAGATAAAAATAAAAAAAAAATGCATAAAATTTTTAAAAATTACAATTTTGACTCTTTGGCTCTTGCATCACCAACAACACTTCATCTATGGCAAGTGATATCTACATATCCTCTTTCCTAATGTGATCTCAATCAATCTTAATGTATCAAACTATCTCATTTAGAAGCTCTACCTAAACATAGAAGTCCTTTGCTAAGGATGTTAACCCAAATGACATTGATTAGTCTTTGTCAAGAGTAGCTATTGTTAATCTGGATGTTGTAATCTCTTACATATATTGTAGTACCCAAGCTATAGGTTATTGTACTTCACATGACGTTTGAACTACTCTTAAGCATCTTAGACATTTAGATTAAGACTTGAAAGTTTGGTTTATGCAACTTCACTTTGAGCTATGTAGCATAAAAAATGAGGACTATTAGTGGGAGAATACCTACAGAAGGCAAAGCACTATTTGATCATGACTACATTGCAACCGCAACAAGGTTAGGACAACAATGAGGCATTGGGGGCCAATCACAATTTGCCTGGACTCTCTATCCAACAAGGACATTGGAGGTATGTTTCTTAATGCAAGACAAGGACATTGTTTAAATTCTTTTTCAGCCTCCTATCTTCATGCAATACATTTACTCAAAGTTCAAAATATCGATACAACCCGATGAGCCAGTAGGGGCGTATCGGACTGTATCGACGCTCGCTCCCCTTTTTTTAAGTTTTTTTAAACATGGTTCAAAGGGGTCGGTTTAAGTCCTATCTACCCCCTGAATCAGGTTAAACCCCAAAACACTCCTTGTAGGGGCATATCAGAAAGCCCCCGATACATATCAAAATTTTGAACCTTTCATTTACTACACGGGGACATAAGAGTCAATTCTGATATAATCCAAAATGAGATACTAAAAACAATAATCAAAATCACGAAGACAATTCCAACAATCAGTGATAGCATGAACCTATCAAATGCTAGATATGTGAAAGGAATAATTTTGAAAGAAATTTGAGTATGAGATTTTTACACTATTATTAACACCTCACGTGCAAATTAGTCTATAGATGATGTATCTATGCGACCTAGGCATCCATTAGGAATACACAGAACCAAATACTCTGGTTGGTAATGGCACAATTCTACAAATATATCACAGTGGTTCTGGTAAAACCTCTATTAGAGATTGCACAAGTGAGAGCTGCTATCACTTAATGGTTTCCTGTCCTTTTGTATCAGAAATCTGGTGCTGTTTTTTTTTTTTTTTCTCTCTCTCTTTGTTTGCAGGTGGTCCTCTCCTCCAAGTGTGCAGAGCTTGTTTTAACATTACGTTAGTGAGAGGGTTAAAAAAGAGAGGTAAATTTCTGTGGAGATGTGTAAGAACATCAATGTCTTAGACAATGTGGGAGGAAAGAAATTAAAGAATCTTCCTTGAAAAAGAAAGAAATAAGGAAGCTATCATTGAAGTAATTTCTATTAGGGTGGCTCATTGGGTTAAGACCTTGAAGCTCTTTGAAGATTACACAGCAGGAGATATCATTAAGAATTGGAAAGAAGTGGCTTGGTTAGATCCCTTAAAAACTACCCCTTCTCTAGTTTGGGTTCCTCCACCCTTGGGTTACACTAAATCACTGTTTTCAAAACCGGACCGGATCGAACGGTCGGACTGGAAAAACCAGGAACCGGTCACCTGACCGGTTCCGTTTTCCTCCAAAACCGTTAATTTTGGTCAGCAAACCGCTGAACCGGCCGGTTAACCGTTCGAACCGTTTTGACCGTTTTTTAAATTTTTAATTTTTTTCTTTAATTTTTTTATTTTTTGATCAAAATGGGCTGGTCGAACGGTCAGACCGTTCGAACCGGTAACCAGACCCTTGACCGGTTTGGTCACTGGTTCATTTTTAAAAACCATGCACTAAATTGGACTTTGATGGAAGCAACAAAGGAAACCCAAGTCCTTCAGGTATAGGTGGAGCCTTCAAGGATGAAGAAGGTCAAATTATTGCCATGTATTCGGGGCCTATTAGATGGGGGGATTCTCTGAGGGCTGAAATACTGGCAGTCTTGGAAGGGATTAAAAGAGCACAGCAGCTGAATATCAGAAAACTGGTGGTGGAAGGTGACTCTAGCCTGGTAACTAGGTGGCTCCAGAAGGAAGATTTAAGTTTGTGGAAATACTTAAATGAGAAAAAGAAAATTAAACATCTGATTCAAAATATGGAAGTTCGGTTTCAATGGACTAAAAGGTGTGCCAATTCCTTGGCAGACTCTTTGGCTAAGCAAGGGGTGGGAAGAGCTATTCTTTTCTGGGCAGCTTTGTAATATGAAGTAAACTTTCAGGGAGGGTTAAGAGATTTTACCCCTCCCTCCTATTGTATCCTCCGTTTTAATCTCTTTATTAATAAAAGTTTTATTATCTATCAAAAAAAGAATTATTGAACAATCATTTACATGTTCCTCCAATAACCAAGTAATTGTTATTAGTGGGTTCATTTCTGTAATTAACATTTATTTCGAATTCCATCCAACGATTTTTTGAAGGATGGGAGCATGGGGAGGCTATTCAAAAGAGCCAAATGAGGGAGGCCTGTACCACTTACAGGTTGAAAGAGGATGAACTGCAAATAAGGACCCCACCCTCTTTTCTGCATTTGGTGGACGTACCTCACTTGATACATGGCACAAAAGATTCGAACATCCAGCACAAGTAGAGCAACATATTATCTCCTACAGCAGGTCACAAATTAGTTCTAATAATCAGAAATACTTCTGCTTGCTATAGAATATTAAAAATCAGAATTGACTTTACCAAAAGAATGGTAGGACCATATTTGTTCATGTTCCTTTGCCTTCCCTAGTTGCTATCTATGCTTCCATATTAGACTGTAACGGGGCCATCTAAAAATCAGATTTTACAGGCAAAAGAATAGTTTGTATACATATATTAAATCTACTTTTAGTTTACCATACACCATAAATTAAGAACAATTTATGCTGCAGTAGTCTATGAAAATGCACTGCCTTTCCACATTTTGTGATTAACATCTTCAAAGTACCATACATTCAATTTGTTAATTGGATGACGGTCATGTTAAGCCAAGAACCGCTCAAACAAACTCCCAAAAAAGAAGCTTGTCTTTGCCCATCCACTAGACTCAGGTTCCTTGGCATTGGCAGGAACTTTCTTCACATTGAGCATCATAGTGTGTCCAATTTCTTTACGAAGTGCTTCAATTGTCTTCATGTCGACTGCATTTCCAGAAGCATCTCTTACATAGAATACATTCATTGCTTGTTCCCCAACTGTTGTCACCCCTGCTCTTCTGACTGACAATCCATTCTCACGGAGAATCCTGGTTACTTCAGATAGCAACCCTACTCTATCCCTTGCACAGAGCTCTAAGCTTAGCCCCTGCATCACATATAACCAAAAACTTGTTTTCTGCGTATTGTATGGCAAGCCAAGGTTGAACTGCATGTCAGCACCTTGACTCAAGTATAACTCTATTCTATGCACTAGAAAGGAAAAGAAATAGAAGAGGCATGGTATGACACAACTAGAAACACACAGATCCTTTGTTAAGTATATGCTTTGATCAATCATTATTTTGGTTAAGTCTCTACATATTCAAGAATCAACTTAACCTTTTCATTATGATTTTCAAAAGATGCTTTGGAATTCACAAGACAGTTTGACCATAAGTTCCATCTAATGCAGATTTGAACTGGAATTTGATAAATGGATTAAAAGATTTTTTGGTACATATTTCAACCAATCAAGATAGTTTTTTTCCCCATCTTTTGCTCTGGAGGGCTCCCTGGGATCATTGGAAATGGCACTTGACTCAGACTGGACGGCAAAGGCTGATGAGCTCCATTAACCAATTAAGGAGAAACTCTTGCAACCCAAATGTTAACAAATCCAAAACTCATCAGACTCATGCTGGCTTCTCCAGCAGGGAGAGTTGGCAAAACATGGTACAATTTAGAAGTTCAATTACCAATTTCTTTTCCTACTACATTTTACATGTAATAGAGTACATAGATGGTAAAAAAGAAATGCAGAGGCGACAAGGCAGGTTGTACTGAATTATGACTCAAAAGCTTTCTTGACAACAACTCACAGACTGAAAATAAGGCTTTTCTTGTATCTATGCATTCAATATGCTTTGGTTATGCATAAATTTTTATATTGAATTGTGAAGGTGACAAAACTCTTCTGTAATCGAATACTTGGCCTTCATATTGGAAAAAATATTCAATGACAAATTTAGAAAATTGAAAACATTTTACAACTTGTAGATTAAAAAATGAGTAGTGCATAAATGCTACTTTGTATAAATAACATGTGTAAGCTAGCAAACCAAACTACTCCAATAAGAATACTACTAATTAGGAAAGGAATGTTAAAGAACTAGTCGTAAGTAGTAAAAATTAGGGTAAATTGCAGATAGGTACCCTGTACTTTGGGGTAGTCTCACTTTAATGCCTGAACTTTCAAATGTGCCATTTTAGTACCTGAGCTTCCAATTCTGTTAAATTACCATTATGGTGAGAGGTAAAACTACAAAAATTCCCATGTTATGATTCTCTTTTTCTCACTGTTCATCTTCTTCTTCTACTGTCAGACTTCAGACGCAAAGCAGCAGTGACATTTTCATAATTCATAGCCAAAATGCACTTAAATTGAGCCTTTATCAACTCTTGTTTGCATTGAAGTATACAGAAAAAGGTGAGCAGTGAGAGAAAGAGAATCAAAATATGGGCATTGTTGTAATTTTCATCCTTCACTGTAACAGAAGTTTTATGGAATTGGACTTAAATGTATATTTCCGGAAGTTCAGGCACTAAAGTGGCACATTTGAAAGTTCAGGCATTAAAGGCAGTTCATGAGTATTGGGAGATTTCATCTTTTAGCCTATGGAGTTTGGTGCATAATTCATCAAATATGGTCCTTACACATGGCAAAAGATTGTAATTATCCGATTGGCCTAATCAACAGGTCAGAGGAGATATGATTTGTAAAGATACCAGTTTACACTGGATTATTATACTCATCCTTCAACTCCATCATCCATAATCTCTCAGTCTGTATGTTGGATTTCCACATATGCCAGGTCGATTCTTCAGATGGGGGAATTTTCATAGAACCAAGGGGGTATTTGCCAATATTTATTTTTTCTGACGTGGAAGTTGTTTTGTCTTGAAAAATAAAATCATATATACTTGCAAAGGCCACCTAAAATTAACAGGTAATTTGTAGGTAAGCCAGAATGGAGTTCCTAACAATATGAGAAGCCAAATTTAGAGCCAGAATTGCACAAGCAAAGCAATGCTCATTGTAGGACCAGTCCAGCTGCTGAAGTATGAGATATATGGTAGAGTCACAAGTCACAATGGGGGCTAGATAGCTTAAAATTCACTTCAAGATGACATTGACTGTGCATGTTTGCTCTCGTGTGTTGAAGAATGCAACCTCAGGTCATCACCCAATTATATGAAGAGGATCGTCATTAAATTGTGTGCACTATCTTCTAAAAACAATCACGGATTCAGGTCTTTAAGTTTAAGCTGGCAAGTCATCTCCATTTAATTATGATATTATCATTAGAAAGAAAGATAAGGAATGCATAGGGCTCTGGATTGATGTAAAGATTTTAACTCACCTCACATACTCTTCGTCGGACTGCAGCTTCAAGACACTTTACAACCCTTTCCTTCTCTCCCTCAGTGTCAAGTATGCAACCATCCATATGACGTATATAATATTCCTACAAATTCCAACAAACTCAATTAGTAAGTCCAATCAAACCCTCTTGAGTAACTGCAATGAATCTTTTATGATATATAATATGTTGTTTATCTTTAAATACATTAGCCTAGTCCAGCAATTGGTACAATCAACAGGATGCCCCCTAGTATCCCGTATCCATTCTTGGGTGACAACTATTCCTCAGAACAGAAGCCAATGGTCAGATGCTTAATAAGGACACCAACTAGATAACCAAGCTGGTGGGCGTGGACATTGCTTGAAAATAAGAGTATATTTCATAACGGCTGAAGTTGCTAAACTGAATGGCTTATTACATTATTTTTAAGTGAATAAACCATTATGAGCTTCTTAATGGCTGAATGGCGTGTGGGGTAGATTACCATAAACCTAATTATTTTATTATATTACTATTTTATCCAGTACATAACAAAGCAATAAGTCATTCAGTTAAGTTACTACAGCTGTCGTCCTTAATACATTTTATGCGAATTTAACATCATACAGCATTGTTTTTTACCAAATCCTGACAAAAAAATTACGTCAAGAACGATTCCCATGCTAAACTGTTTGTCAGGGAATAATCAAATATGTACCTGTAGAGCATAGGGACCATCAGAAGAGATGGAGGCATGGAATACAACATACTGCATGTCTGTTAGAGTACACACTATGTCGAATAACAACTTTGGCCGGTCTTTGCACCGAACATTCACCACCGAGTACCCTTTGTCCTCACAACGATCAACAGTGATAATTGGCTGGAAAGATGGAGCATAATCCGTGTCTTTTGTCACTACATCAATTTCATAGTCCCTATCTGCGAACATCATTTGATGGAGGCGACGATCCATATGAGTAAACCCCATGGAAAAATTGGTTCGAGCTGCTTTTCCACCATCGTCACGTCCACCCAAGAGGTTCTTGAGTTGCTCCTCCATTGCTGACAATCGGATTGGATCATCCACGGCACGACATGTGGTGTCGTCATTGACATAAAGCACACAAGCCAAACGCATGTTATGGGTCCAAACTTCTGCAGAAACAACATTACAATGGAGGTCGGTAAGAACAGCTGAGATCTCGGATAGAAGACCTGGGCGATCCCTGCCAATGAGCTCGATAGCTGTGTGATCACCAATAGAATGCACTCCCACCCTCTTCCCCGGCCAAGTCTTCACCCCATCTGTGGTCACACTATGTCCTTTCGGTCCTAGAGCCTGTACAGAAAAAAGGATGACGCCATGACGGTAATAAATAAGAGAAAACAAATTTGAACAATGATCTTCCAACAGCAAAAAGAGGTATTGAGTTTTTGGAGTAAGCATTCGGAATAACTTTTGGCTGTTTGTAAAAGACAGTCGGGGCTATTTTGGGAGATGCATCTCATTGTGAGTGTGGATAAAATAGTATTTACATTCAATATTATTTAGTTGAAATGATAAATGAAAACCTGAATTAGCTAAGGTATAATATGTAGAGGCTCCCAGACTGTTTTTTCCTAAACAAACAGCCAAAGTGACTCTAAGTATCTTGTTCTACCGTACTTAAACCAAAAATTTTAGGTACGAAAGATGGAAGCTGCATTTGAAGCTTCACTGGAAATATGGAAGTAATAATTAACCAAGTTTTGATCCTTGGTGGATAAAGAGCTCTTAGGACTGGCTACGTGTTGACTCCCCAAGGCCACATCAGACTCGTTCCCTAACTGTTATTGGTGATCTCAAGAGAAATATGTGCTCTCCAAGTTTCTAAATTTTTTAAATCCCTTAGACGGGTGTTATTTTGGAGACATCGTTGCCAAAATTTGCTTGTTTAATAGTATGTTCGGTTGAATGTGTTAAAAACCAAATGGGCAGATTAGCGGAACAGGTCCAGTGGAAACTTTGACAAGTTCCTATTTGGTTCGTGAAGCACTGATACTTTAAAGAAAGACTTACGGTTTTATATTTTGGTTCATAAAGAATTAGGACTTCATGAGTAATGCATAATTTTATTGGACCACGGTTTAAACTAAAAACTGATTGAACCGATGATAATCCAAATAAAGCCCATTACGAAATTCGTTTTTAACAAGGCACACTGAGAATGAAAGTCAAACCTTAGTTTAACCGATGAATACTAATAATCCAACTAGAACACTATGACTTCATGTCTTATTTGGTTATCTATTTATAGCCTTATTATTAATGTATTATTCATAAGGCATTCACATCTATACAACTCTAAGAAGTCATATAACCAAAAGTTTGTAGACTCGTAAATCCAAGTCTCATGGAATTCACTTTTCCTTTTATTAGAGAGAGAGAGAGAGAAAGAGAGAGAGACGTACCATCTCTATATGTTCAATGGTTTTTGTATCTGTAACCTTATTCCCCTGTTGGTCAGTGACATGGAACACTGTTCGTTGCATAATATATTAGTTGATTGTCTCTCTGTGGGAAAGAGAGTTGATGAACTTTGGAAAAATACATACCGTCCATGAACCACCCGCCATCAGAGGAGATGTAAGCTTTGGTGATGATGAGGTCAAGGTCTGTTAGGACTTGTACCACTTCCAGTAATATGCCCGGCTTATTCACGCTGTCCACCTGCAACGGTTCCCATGCATATATATATAACATATCGTGATCGAACAAGACAAGGACGGACCAATCCCTTCTGAATTTCTGTTTAGGTCCTGTTGTCCGAACTATGTTGTATATGGGCCTGTAGCTGGGTAAACACTATGGCCTAAGCCCTACGTCGATCAAGTTAGGTGCACTACCAGCTTGCTAAGTTTTAAATGCCATGTTTATCATATAGAGTTGTGGTTTTATGTGGCTAACCAATGATCCAAAATTCTAAACCCGGCCCATAGAAGAGAGAGTCAAATTGCATCTGGAAATGTCAGACCGTCCCAGTCCGCCTGGTCCAGGTCTCATAAATAGAAGACACAAAAACATTGTGAGGCCCAGAAATATGGACTGCTGGTCTGATGCAATGCGTTAGAGAAAATTTTGGCTATCCACATTTGACAGTATGATAGGATAAGTTTGGGAATGCTTAAAAAAAGCGTTTATTATAATAAATACTTATTTTAGGCCGAGACTTATCAATAAGCGTTAACTTGCATTTGGGAAAAAAGCCCAAAGTGCTTATTTCATTTTTTGGCCTGTCTTGGTCAACCACATCATTTAAAAAAAATATCTATACTACCCCTGTTTAAAATAAGTATTTTTTCACTAAATGCTCTTGAATGCTTATTAAAATAAGCACTTATTTTCAAATAAATACTCCAAAACTGTCTTAATCTGACATGGAAATAAGGACTAGTATGTCATGCAGGACAGCCCAGTGGCAGTCGACTAGCACGGCAATCTATGGTCTTATGGAGTCCAAAGTCCAAACCAAAGAAGTTGCTTCCTGTGCTCTGTTCCCCACTATAGACATCCACTTAAGGCCACGTTTTGGAGTGTTTTGGGGCTTAAACAGACTTTTCAAGAAGGATACTTTTTAAAATAACCTCCTTAAAAAGTGTTATTTTTTAGTGTTTGGTTGGTCATCAGCTTTTTTTTATCAAAATAGCTCCTTGCAAGCATGAAAAGATAAATGAAGGTTTTTTTTTCTGTTTTTAATGTACTTTTTTTATGCAAAAATCCCTTTTCCAACTTTTCACTAAACAATTTTTTGACCTTTCAGCTTGCTAATGCTAAGATAAAAAAGCAAAAAAAAAAAACTGTTGCAAAAGCACTCCCAATCATGACAAGAGTAGGTAGATAGAGCATTAACGTCTAAGGCCTGGTGTTAATACGAATCCAAGAGCCATGACCCACATCTCATAGCACAAAATTGAGATCCGCCATTGAATTGGTCCACCATAAGGATTGATTAGCTCAAAATCCAGCCTTGAAACTACACATAAGAAATTCTATTATAAGTATTTTTTTTCCAAAGCTAAATGATGCATAATGGTTGAAATGTCATCTATTTCTAGTATCTGGTGTAGTTCCATGAGCAAGACCAATGAAATGGTGGGCCCTGCCCCTGAACCCGAATTCACCCTGGAGTACTGTAACCTAGAAATAGGAAAATTGTGCGACCCGTTATAGTAAATGTTCCATGATTCATCATCAAGAAGAAAACAATTCTTCAGGATTTACCTTAACCAGTGTAGAGTCCTTGCACGTAGAATTATCTATACATACCCTGCATAAGAAAGAGAGATCAAACAGCTCATCATCTAACGCATCAAAAGGTTCCATCACCATCAACCCGACATCCTACTTGGCATGAGCTGGGCTTTTCGACAAATTGTGGGAATCAATGGTGGCGGAACTACGAGGTACGTATTCAGAAGAAAAGAGAAGAAACGAAAGGGATTTAAGTACCTTGGAGGATTTATCCGAAGGCTGAGGTTCTCGTACTCGGGATCAAAGTAAGGCCGATAGACATTATCCATTGAAACCTCAAAAACTTTTCCTCTACGCACAAAAGAGAAACAGTACTCACTTCTTCCGCTGCAACAAGCGTTGCAAACAATGGGCAATGAAGAACCCTACATAAGTAGGTCTTTATTATTAGTTATTAGTGTTGGAACGGGTGGCCATAGGCCCTCCATTTGGAATCCTCAATGTGTAGGAGAATCCATTGGCCATGTGAAAAGTCATACTTGATGGAGTAGCTTAATAATATAATCCCTGTAAACACACTACAACACACACCAATTACAGTTTTTATTACATGTTATTATTTATTTTCTAGTAAAAATTAATTTGTTTTCTATAAACTATTTTTGACTTATTCACAGGGTGGTTATTGGGTCTAAGTTGGATTAATTTCAGCCTTTGGCTAAGTCAGCAAGAGGATGTTTGGCTTAGAATGGGTTGAGTGATCATGTGGTTTAAAATCATGATCATTGAGATACCTGTCTCAATCCGAAAGGTTAAAACAAGATTAATGTTGGTGAAGTTTATCTTTTATAACCATTTTTATTTTCTCTTTCATAGGAGAGACATTATGGCAATTACCTATAAAAGGGAAAGAGTAAAAGTCTCAAATGCACCGACTGGATATCTTCTTTATTAGAAGGCTATCAAAACCTCCAATAAATTCTGCCCAATTCAAATTGTATTATCAGCTTTGTAAAGTCTAAGATTATTTACATTTTATTTAGTCACTATTCTGTTATTGTTTTTTCAATTAGTATTTAGTGACGCACTGATTCCATGGACAAGAGCCCAGCCTTGCCTTTTCAGTCAATAATTCAATATTATTTGTAGGCTTCGATATTGATTATGACACCTCGATACAGTCAACCATTCTCTACAGGCCCCACCAAGCAATTAAAAGTAAAACTCAGCCCAATTGTGGCTTTTTCAAAGACCCAAAAGTCACTGGCATATTGACCTGTATTTGTATCCTAGTCCATAAATGGGAGAAATCTGTGTCGTTTTCTCGGGAATGATTCAACTGGAATACTCATCGTTTGAACTGTTCATCACTTGTAGCCCAAAAATTTGAAAATCATTGTTTTTTTTTTTTTTGTATTTGGTACCTTGCACCACTCATAATTTCCGATTGACCCCTCTTTTTCCCAAATTGCTGGTTGCGGGATTCGATTGCACGTAAATGCTGAAATTAACCAACTAACGCATTATTAAGCTAGTCCTCGGTAAAATTTGAAAATCAATATAAACCCTAAAAAATGAAAAAAAAAAACAAAATTTTTAATTGCCTCAATTTTTTGGGCAAATGAATGATGAACAACGGAAGGGTTAAACATAATTGACACAGCCCAAAAGTTCTCATGTGATGATTGCCAAATGTAGAACTAGGGGTGTCAAATGGTTAGGTTTAGACGGTAAACTTGCCCCGGTCCAACCCTATCAAGTTGAATTTGGAGCAGTCTGTCTGTAGAGAACCCGTTTTTTGGTCACAAGGAAGTGGATTCTATTCAAATTAATTAGAGAAATGAGGTACATCATTATGTATATCCATTCAAATTAAGATGGGTATTATAATCCTATTTCATCAAGTTGGGTTGCATCCATTGAGTGGATATCATTCTTGTTTGGAGCATCTTGCCCACTATAAGTGGGTCTACCTCATACACCAACTGGGTTAAAAGTTCCTCTTAATGCTTTCTTCTAACTGTTTTAACTCAAAATGCATGGAAATTTTCCTAGTTTAAAATATTTGAGTTGGATTTTATTTCGGTGAAGACAAAGTTTCACTAAAAAGAGACAAAAATAATAACTGAAATATTTTAGTGGACTTCCCTAGAAAAACTCTTGGATAGTTAAAAATATAATCTGATCGTACTGATTTTTTAGACAACCAATTTCTTGGTTCCATTCAATAGTGGGTCTGTTCTTGAAATGTAGAACAGGTGACAAAGTCATCGGGATCCAGACCTAAAAATCATGTTACAGAGAAATTATAGAACACACAGACAGAGAAACAGAGAGAGAGAGAGTGTGTACCAAATAGTGTAGTCAATGTGGAGGAAAAAGAGAGTGAATTCGAGGGCTAACAGCTAAGCCCACGACTCACCCTGATCCCAATCTCCTAATTGAAGCAATGGCTTACATGATGACGATATTTCCTGCACACAAAAGGCCAAAACCAGAGCGTAGTAGAATCACATGAAAAAGTTAGACAAAACAAATCAGCCACACGTAAATAACAGCTGAAGTGGCTAAGCAGAATGTTTTATTGTTTAATTTTTTTTCCAGTAAAAGATAAAATATTAAGTCATCCAGTTCAGCCACCTCAGCCGTTACGGCCCCTTTTTATAGAACCAAATCTACATTTCGCTATTATTCCCCCATAAATCCCATGAGATGTAAAGGAATTGTACTAATCCCATCTCCTCTCCTCCTGCCATGAGATGTAAAGCATATCTTTTTGGTGGGCGAAAAACATGGAAGGCAAAACATGAGGACCAGAATAGACTTTACTGCTTAAAAACTCCATGGAATTCAGATTCAAAGATGACACAAAGATAAAGTTCAAAAGTAGGTTTGAATGTTTGATGAGGCACTCAACAAGGACGGAATAGAACCTTTTGATACGACCAAGCGAGATTTGATTCTCTGCAAAAAAAGCAAATCAACGAGGGTTCCTTTCCTGTAATATTTTTTTTCAAGAAGGTTCATTTGTTTCGGTGTTCTTTCCATCATCGGCCCACTACTAGCCCACTTATGACTTAACTCATGGGCTGGGCCAATCCTGGGATGCGCTGACTTTATCATATCTTAACAAGTAACAACCCATAACCGAATGGGCATCTGCTGCACTTTTCCCTGCACTTCACACATTAAAAACGGGAATATGGGACATTGGGACACTCAGAAGTGCAGGAAAACAATGCACCAGATCTGATTGATGGATTCGATGGTTCGACCAACCAGATGATTTGCGGTAGACAGTTCTAAAAGAAGCGATATATCGGCATCCATAACTGCATAACGAAGAAGACGACATATCGGCCGAAACGATTGAGTTCTAGGGTCTAGGCGCTTATGTCCTGTTGGCCCCTGTTCTGGTGAATTTATCGGATGCATAGCACACACTCAAACAGCCCACTGATCAGAAGTCCCATATTTAAAAGACAAATGTGATTTTAGAACGAGTAAGTAATTTCTCTACACAGGATCTGAAAGACTGAATCAACGTAAACGATTCTCTGAGAGGAGGAAGTAAAATTATGTGGAAACAGAGAGAAAAAATATGAAAATTTTCTTAGGGAGTACAGAAATTTGGACTGAATCCATAAAAAGCATCTCATGGAGAAGTTTTGACAGCCCTAAGAAATCAAGAAATTAAATCCAGCGAAGATAACCAAATTTACAGATTAGTTTCCCTAATTGCCTCGGATCTGCCAGAATTAAATAAAAACGGAACCCTAATCTTTGAAGAGAACCGAGGATAGAGAGAGAAAGAGAGTGTGTGTGTGTGTACTAAAACCAAATAAAAGACAAGCATTTTTTCGTTGAAGCAGCAAGTAATGCCTCGTTAAACCATGAAATTGACAGAATTTCAGATCAAAGAAAGAACGAAGAAACTATTATATATCGAAGCAAGAAAGCTTCATAATAAGCTTGTAAACCGATACAACCGTCCTCCAAAATTCCCTTCCCATTTAAGACATAATGAAAGAACAGACGCGAAATCAGAGATCAAGCAAGCACTCACCTTACTCGGTTCGATTGATTCCACGGATCCCCAAATTAGAAAGAGAGATCAGCCTCCGAATTCTCAAACACAGGAGAGAAGTAGAACAAACGTGGGAATTAGAGAAATTTGGAGAGAGTAGGGAAGGAACATAGTCATAGTCCGGGCTGTAGCTCCCTCTCTCTCTCTCTCTTTTGTCTCGCTCGCGTTCGTTCGCTCGACTCTATACTATAAAAGAGAACGAACGAACAAGTGATGAGACACCAACGTAGCCCTCATTAATTTACTCCCGCTGAAAATAGGGGAATCAAAGTTGAATCAAATACTAATTTTTCGTTCATGTACGGTGGGTCCCATTTCTTTTCAACAACAAGCCAAAGATGCGGCGACCTGGCATCTCCCGACTCCCGTTCCAAATACAATGACAAAAAATGCTCTCACAGCCATTTGATCTGGGCTGCATTTATTTTGTGAGAAGATTTTAGTGGGATACGAAATGATGGAATGGGATGGCATAGGAAAGGGACAGAGAAAATAAGTAGAAATTTTTCATTTTTCGGATGCAAAAGGGAAAATAGTGAGAAAATATTATCCATTTATTAATTAATCAGGTAATTAATAATATTTTTGTTATTTTGTAGTTTACTATTAATTAATTATTATTTATGAATTAATATTTTAAATTTAATTGTATTAATGTTTACCTTCATTTACTTGAAAGCTTTATTTTGTATTGTTAATTATTTAACATTTTTATTACATATTATTTATTTATTTTTATTTAATTATTAATTAGAATATTGATAAGACCATTATTTATTTATTCATTAATTAATTATTAACTATTTTTTTGTTAATTATTACTACTTTTTATTACTTAATATTTATTATTAATTAGATATTAATTATTTCAAATTAATATTTAATTTTTATTATTTAATATTTTATTAATACTTATGGCTTAACTAATAATCTTAATATTTTGTTCTAAAATTTTAATTAACTATTGAACTTTTTAATTGGCTATTATTTTTAATTTATTTATTAATTATTTTATAAATATGTTATTAAATTTTTAATAATTTATTTCTGGGTCATGGATCTAATATTAAGTCTTAAAATGAATATAAAAAAGGTATTTTTTCCCTATTAAACAAGTTTCCTCTTACATTCCCACTTGTTTTCCACCAAAATGGTGGGGTTCCACATCCCAAAATTGAGATCTATAGTTCCACTTTTTCCCATCTCATCTCATGACATCCCACAAACTAAACATGGGAAGGGAGGAAGATTCCAAAATATTCCATATTCTCCCTTCCCATCCCACGTGTGTGTGTGTGTGAGAGAGAGAGAGAGAGAGAGAGAGATCAATACTTTTAATTCTAATATTCAAGTCCATTTATTGTCGTATTGATGTTATAGTGAAGGTAAATTTATCAAAATGTCCATTTGTGGCTTGTCACATGCTAATATTTTTTCTACTTAATTGATAGAATGCTAATGGTTGGACTTGAGTATCAGAATAAGAATGTACAAGGTAGCTCTATGTCCCAAGTGAAAGTTGAGGCATTAAGTATCACTACCCCCAAAGTATAGGATAGTTCCATATAATTTTCCCTTAGGTTATGTTTGGTTTGAAAGAAAAGGTAGAGAAAGAAAGGGAAAGGTAGGGAAACTTATACAAGATTCGTAAACATTTCCCTACCTTTCTCTTCCTTTCCCTATTTTTTCCTTCATACCAAATACAGCCTTAGGTTGCGTTTGGTTGCAATGCAAATAAATTTGTGCACTAATACAAAACCATAACAGTGCAAATGATTTGAGTATAAATTCTGACCTATTTTTGTTTCAAATGTTAGCTTATTTTGGTTAATTGCAGTACAAGTGAAGTAAATTAAGATATGGAATAGAACAAAGTAAAATCCAAAACAAAATTAAACAAAAATGTGCATTTTTTACATTTGCACTCCCATGCATTTGTACTAGTGCAAATTTACCTTCACCCTAATCTAACCTAACTTAACATTTAGTTTCAAACCCGCTACAATCTAAAGGAAGTCTATCAGACATTGATCTGACCTGATCTACAGTCTTGTAATTGTATTTTCTATAATATATTATAAAAACCCAAGAGCCATTAATTTAAATTAAAATTTTGTTTATGGGTTCCAAGGTGTCACTTTCTCCCTAGTAAACAAAGAAAAGCCAAACTTGGGTGATGGGCTGGTTATCAACTGCTTTGGCTGAGTTGGTAAGTTCTTTGACTGGTTCCTGGTTGCAGAAGAGACTTGGGATCAAACCCCACTGTCACCAGGATTGTGGGTTTTGGGTATGGGAATGAGTTACACCGTAGACCCATGAAAAAAAGAAGAAAAAAAAAAAGGAGACAGTAAAACCCAATACCACCCCAAGCCTGGCTCATGTTGCAGCATCAAAACCCTAAGACTATGTTTGGTTTGAAGGAAAAGGTAGGGAAAGGAAGAGAAAGGTAAGAAAACCTATACAGGGTTTGTAAAGATTTCCCTATCTCTCCCTTCCTTTCCCTACTTTTTCCTTCAAACCAAACACAGCCTAAGCTGACCCTACACCCAAACAAATTTGATCCTATTGGATTTATCATTTAACCCCACCCATTGACATTTCACATGCCTAGGGAGGTAATACCTGCATCCACAATGCATGTGGGTCAAGGGCCAAGACCTGCCATCAACAATAGCTGGTTGCCGTCACAAAATCTGTTTAGGCTGCATTTGGCATTTCTTATTTTAAGAATTTATCTTATTTTTTTGTTAAAAACTCAGTATATATAGGAACATTTTAATTAAGAAAAATGAGACAATTCCTTAAAATAAGGAATGCCAAATGCAGCCTTAATAGGGTTCAGTCAGACAACAAACGGATCTACCATTTAAGATCTGCATTAAGCTTACTTGGGCCGTATCTGTATCATATGGTTCAATGGTTCAATCCATTGATAGGATTTACATTAGGGATTTGGGAGCTGCTGCAACACATGGTATAGCAGTTTTGATATCCAATTAAGAACTGTTAGAATTACTGGGGTCATACAAGTTAATTTTGTCTAAATAGTCAGACAAGAAGGCAAGAAGAAATGAAAGTTAGTGCAGGTAGATGGATGATGGAAGGACATAAGGACAAACTTAAGGCTGTGTTTTCTTTGATAAGAGAGAGAAAATTGAGGAAAAACTCTCTCTCTCTCTCTTATCAAATCAAACATAGCCTAAAGGGGAGCTTGTGGAACATAGAATCTTTTATTTATGTTTGCTTCTATAGATATTTTCTATGGTGCAGAGGAAATATCAGATAAAGAATTATTAGCCATTTGAGAAGAATATTAGGACATGAAAAATTCTATAGGCCAAATAATGCCCATAGATCCAATTTACTCCTCACACCAACCTCCAGAACATCACAGCTGTGAATTGGGATTTGAGAACATCTTCCATGAATGATAATAAGATGTTCTCAATGCACAGCTGAAAGTGCTGTAAGATTGGTGTAAGGAGCGCTTTGTGAGGAGCAAGAGCAAATCCGGATTATGTTCATAAAAAATATTGAAATGCTTTTCATGGTCATTTCTTGTGTGCTCTATGAAGATAAGGGATCATTTAATAACAGCTTAAGTGACTGAACTGAAAAGTTCGTTACTCTGTCTTTTTAATGGATAAGTTCTTAAAGAGGTCATGAGCTCCTAAATGGCTGAAGTTGAGGATGGGTAGATCATAGAAAATTAACGTCTGTCACTTCAGCCGATATCAAACAGACCCTAATGTGGCCTTCCAATTTTCTTGTTAAATCCCTTGATTTGGGATTTTTTTTAAACTATTAGCATTGCTCCTAAAAAAAAGAGTAGAATTAGTAATTTCAAAATTTTAAAAGCAATTAAAATTATGGGATTATTAGTCATGGATGAATCGAACTTATTATACAAAACATTCCATAATTCTACGAACATTAAACTTTATCATCAATACAAGAGATTCCAAACCCCTCAATTATTTTAAGAGGTCCAAATGGAATTTCAAAATACATGATGGGGATCATTTGGTGTCTTTTTAAATTAAACACCCATTTAGTAGTGCCTCTCAATCATCGTTACTAAGATATGAACTACGAATTGGATTCACTTGCAAGGATTCTCAATTCACTAGAAAACAATTCAAATCTGGACAAATCAAATGAATCGAATCTTCATTTTCTTACTATAATTAATGAGCCAATAAAACTAATGGACTAAACAACTTGTGTTTATATAATAGAAATAATGAGCATATAGCAAATGGTTAAAGAATTATAGAATCGATGTCATGTTGAATGAATTAAATATTGAATCAAATAGAGGCAGTTGGATTCCCTAGCTCAGCTATAAATCAAAAACTGTGAATTATTCATAAACAGCATTAGCAGCTATATGTGCCCTTGTTCTAATGAGTCCGGATCTTCTGCCCATAATAATTCTGTCCACGTCTACCCACATATTATTACAGTCACACATGGAGAACATCTCATACTCTTATATATTATTATACACGGGGAGATGTTCTAATGTATGGGGGTAAGTGTGTTGTGGATAGACATAGGCAGAGTTATTGTGGGCAGGAGATCCAGAGTTTGTTCTAATATGTGTAAAAGTAAAGTTCAAAATATTGTAACATATTTATGGTACATAAAGACATTTAGGGAGGGTGTGTTAGGCCTGAGATCAAGCCCACGGGCCTAATTACATGACCAAACCCAACCGGGGTGCGGGCCGGGCCGGGCCATCGGGCTACACAGTCCATGAACACGTATAATCATTAGGCATCCCCCTATATGGTGTATTGTAGGTTAGAAACGCACCCATGAATTCCTCAGCTTTCTAGTTCCAAACTACAAATCGCCTTCTTATATGGTATTTCAAATGGGCAGTTGAATGGTTTTGTAGTTCAGTTGGTCATTTGGCAATCCCTCCCTCTCCCTATGTGGAGATCGGATTAAATGAACACAATGGTTGTGTATAATAATAGCGAGTTCGGCTTCAATCAGGGCAAACTCTGTTCAGCCAGTCTTTACTGTCTTGCATTGAGAATATCTCCATACTTATATGCTTTATTTCATGGGGAGATATTCCTAATGCAAGGTTGAGAAAGGCTGTTAGAACAGTGTGGGCATGGATTTGCCCTGACTGAAGCCGGTCTCGTGTATAACAGGTTGTGGAACCAATGATAACACCTCACACCAGTCATATATGGCCACAATCACTCATTCTCTAACTTAGCATTCCTTGGTTCCACAGCTGTATCACCTTCAGATAATCCGAATTCCCCTTTGAGGAGGTGTGGGTTCAAATTCGCCGAAGGGCAGGTACTCCATGTAGTGAATGCTAATGGGTCCACCCATGTACCCTGCCACATTTGACCCATTAACCCACTAATTAGGTCTTGTGCGTAGCACCCCTCTCCTATGGGGGCGAAATCCGTGTCACAACACAATTGCTAAAAAATATAAAGATTAGAAAATAGAAGTTAAAGAACAAGAGGAAAAGGTAGATGCATGCAAAGGGATTAAGTAGTGCAAGACATTTAAATGAGACATGGAGCGCTCATGTCTCCAACTCTCATGAGACACATCTTTTGATTGGCTCTTCTTTGGGGCTCGGCTATGTACTGTGGCCTGTGGGGTTGAAAATGTGATTTTACTTTTCATCACTGAACAATGCTAGCCATATGGGTTTGATCCGAACCCATAATCGAATCATAATGACCACACCACCAAACCTGACCTTAACCTGATTAGATTCATGCTAAACCTGTCTTGATAGGGACAAAGCAGGTTACCTCATTAACCTGCCTATTGACACCCCTGGAATTGTACTTCACAATTGTGTCAGGGAATATCATACTATGAGATTGTATTTAGCCCAATTCCCCTAGAATTGGGCTTCAATTTTCTGTTTCTCTTAGGATTTGTTTGGTTTGAAAGAAAAGGTAAGAAAAGTAAGGGAAAGCTAGGAAAAATCTCTCTGCAGAACAGCTACCTTTAGTAGAAATTTATGTGGGAGGCTTAAATGCTTGAAGCATTAGCTAATTACCTTTAGTAGAAATTTAGGGAAAATCTCTTTGATAACAGCTACCTTTAGCCGACCCCATATAACTTGAGATAGATAGACTATAAGTCCTTTGTGAATTAACTATTATTTTAGAAATTTAAACTGAAATCATTTGTTACAACATACCCCACCTTTTATTGGCATAATCACCAGCTACCCAACTAAGTAAAAGTGGACTGATGAGATTTCGCATTCTCTGACCTACCAATTAGATCTAGCCCATACTTTTTAAGTGGTTTTCCTCCACTAAGAGCAAAGTAAAATTGGATTCAGTCAGTGCAAAGTCCGTTTGAACAGCAATCATAGCCTTGCATTGCAAATATCTCTCCATGAAATAAAGTATAGAAGTACGGAAATGTTCCCGATGCAAGGCTCTAAAGGCTGTTCGAACAATGTTCGAACGGGCCTTACACTGACTGAAGCCGATCTCGAGCGAAGTAGCAGATTTAAAAAGATGATAAAATCCCTAAACCTATTTATGGACCCAAAAAGTAAACATCATTCAATTAGTTGGATGCCCATTCATTGTCAATGCAATCATCAACACCAAAGCCCCTGTCCCATCCTTAGTGGCTTACTGTCATCTTTCATTGCTGCCCATTTTTTAGGCAAGGTTTGATCAACTGTCCCATTTTTGAAGTTCATATTATTTTCTCCCCCTAAAGAATCTTACACTTTATGTGGAGCAAGCAAAAACTCAAACTATTTTAGAGATTAATGTGGAGAATACTGTTGTTTGGTCAGCTACAGCCTTCTTGATATGGGTCCTTATTCTGTTACTATCCAAAGCTTCTATTTAACATTTAAAAAAATGACCTCAAAGAAGGGATTAAATTGGCCATGTGATAAGGAGTTTTGAGCAGAAACTGACTTTGGCCCCATGAACAGAGAGCTGTCCACTACCAAAAAAGAAATAGGACGCTGGTTCTCACTGTATTGACAGTCTGTCACATGGAAGACTTGCCAATAATTAGTCTCATCTACCAAAGAAGATGTTTGGCATCATGGTTGGTTGAAGTAATAACGTTTGTATTTTAGTATTAGAATCAGGAAATAGGGTGTTTGCAACACAAGACATAATTTTTAATTATAATTTCAAATACATCACAGCGCCACTAGGTACCACATATGACACATATGACTTGCATATAACTTGGAGTGACACAGCATAACCCACGTGAAGATGGTACAAACAATTAAGCTGTGTTTGGTTGCAGTGCAAATTTATTTGCACCAGTAGTCTAGTACAAATGCATGGGAGTGTAAATGTAAAAAATGCAAATTCTTGTTTAATTTTGCTTTGGATTTTACTTTATTTTGCTTCATGTCTTAATTTACTTCATTTGTACTGCAATCAAACAAAATAGGTCAAAATTTACCCTCAAATAATTTGCACTGCCATAGTTTTGCATCAGTACAAATTTATTTGCATTGCAACCAAACAAAGCCTTATACTTTGAATCTGCCCAAAGATGATACAGGCTTGGCAAAGTCGATGTTTACATGGGACTTAGGTAGAGGCTCAAGACCAAATTTTGAGACTTCAAGCAGCAATGGTACCAAACAAACTATAAATGAATAGCAAATGAACTATCACTGTTTATTTATGGGCCATGGAATCTTTTGAGGAAAAATGCAAATTGTCAACAGTAGAACCGGCCAACCAGGAGGTGGTTGTAGCTTGTAGGGACGAGGGATTTCTACCACTTCCTAGTTCCTACCATGACATAAACGGTGATTGATGGGTCAATCCCAGGCTACCTGTTGAGGAGGTTGAACCTCGAATTCCCACCATTTCTTGTCCTTTTGGCTCAACCTATCCAGCAGGTAACTTAGGGGTTTCCAGACAAACAGATCCTCAGAGTTGACATGAGGATCATCAATGAATGACTGAATCGCCTCATACGTTAGTTAATAAACAGAAAACCAGTAATGGGTTATCAATCTCATATCCAAAATATCATCAATAAACTGCTGGGAGAGAGAGAGAGAGAGAGACTTCTCTTTGAGTGCTTGTGGTTTGCCTACATTTCTTTTAACCTTTTTTTTACCAGTACAAGCACTTGATTTGATTGCATAGGAAAGAATAATACATGAAGCCATTAAATCTAATCTTTCATGATTCACTTGAGGTGTAACAATACTTTATGAAGCAAACCTCTACCTCCCAAAACAACCCCAGCATACACCATGTGTGGGCAAATAATACAATTTGGTATAGCTGAAAAAGTGTATCAAAAACTTACATCAGGACTCCTGCAACATTTTCGAGGGCCTTTCTTGCAACCTTAAACTTTGCAGAGAAAACTTTGTTATCATTCACTACATACTGCTTGATGAAGAACCCAAGGCCATTTCTAAGAGACTCAAGTTCAGGTATTCCAGCTATGCGAGTGAAGATGTTCCATACGAGTGCATCTGAGAGCTCCAAAACAGCCTCAAAAAGCATTCGGAAGTGCATAACCCTTTTGGCACTCAACTGCTTGGGGTCACTTAGCTCGACAGTCTTCAGGACTGCAAGGGAGAGGGTAAAGGAGGCAAGCATCTCTGCAACGAATCTTGCCAAGTTCATTGATCTATGAAGCTCCATCGAATCAAGTTCTTTGAAGTGGTCCCACAGGCAATACTGAAAATTTTGAGACAACCATAAGGTGTCGACAAACAATTTTATGTTGAAGCTGTGTAGGAGAAACAGTAGGACAACTCTCCATTGCCTTGTGCACAATAACGAGGACATGGTATACATGCTAACAGCATTGGTTTAGTTGTAGAAAATGAAATATAGGAATTTCAGCATTTTATCAACAATATTCAAAGATCCTGTAGAAAGCCTCTAAAGGGGAGAGGGGTGGTGGAAACTACCATGTTTTTTTGGCCATTTGGCAAATCAGGAACGACTACAAACTATACTTTATGTAATCTGGATAAAAGCATGAACACCAAAGAAACTGGTATTAAGCACATAGTTCCATTCTTTTCCTTCTATCTTCCCTTTTCTAAACAGTTATTCTTTCAGTTTTAGTGCTAAAGTTACTGGTCAAGAGTCAAGACTCAAAACATAATAGAATCACTTAAGATGCGTAAAAAACTATGAAATATAATAATCGCAACCTTTTTCCATTTTTTCCAGATGCCATCAAGAGGGTCCAGAGGGGATGCTTAGGAACCTCACTCATAATTACCATCAACATCAGTACAAAAATGAAGAGTTTAAGACAACTCTGGATGCATAGACCGCTATGCAAATATAAATAGCACCTCTCCAATCATCACCACCCTAATTTTGCAAGACTTCATGTAATGAAAATATGAAAAATGGGAAGAAAACATGGAAGAGGTCAATTTAGTTGAGTTAATTAAAAATGATTTTCTACTTTACATTACTGGAGTTTTTAGAGGTCAGAGAAATTGAAGTTGCTAGTTTGTCAAATTTCTTTCAGCCTATAAGGGGCCAAAATTCTTCCATTTGACTTTCATTTGATTTTGTTTTGGTGATTTCCAGAAACATTACCTATCCAATGAGACCAAGATATTTTGAATTTGAAATATTTTAAGAGAGTAATTAGTCATTTTACTGTTAGTGCATCAATTCATAACAAAAGTTGAGCTTGTATTTTGATTTTCTAGGCCTATCTTGGAGTTGCATTTAGTTATTTAATTTATAGGAGGATTACTAATAGATACTTAAGAGTCATTTTATGAGTCAAAATTAGTATCTTTTTGGAAGTAAAGAAAATAGTTATTAAAACAAGAGTAGAAAGATACAAGAGCAAGAAGGCCCACTAACAAAAAACTAACCAGGCCAAAGAACAGGTTATGTACATCAAAAACAGACCACAAACCAGGCCCATCATTGCACTACCCTGCCCAAAGGCAGTAACCAAAGAACAAACCACCACCTCAACAATCCAAAACTTAGACCTGCAAACAGCAAAAAACACTACCAGAACACCAGGAGTCAGGGACCACCACAGATCCTAGGCTGCTCCTTCCTCTGCCTCCCCTACCAAATCAGTATTTTGAGGGGAGGTCCTACACTATAAATAATTGGAATTTTAGGAGTAGATTTCACAATCTCTGTTGGGTAGCTGCCCAACTCAGATCCTCTTCGAGGGAGGATAACCTCCAGAATAGGGGAAAGTGAGAGTGAAGAGAGAAAGAGATCAAATCTTTTTATTATTCCTTATTGTAAGTACACCTCTGTATTTATATTCAATCTTGCCTTCAATGTAACTGATTTACAACAAAATTATAACAACTTGCCAACTTGCCTGATTCAGTTAACTCCAGCTGTCTTTGCACCGACTTCCTTATGCTGAGGTGGCCTTAACTGATTTACAACAGAATTGTAACTTGCCAACTTGTTTGATTTAGTTAACTCCAAGTTGATTCAGTTAATTCCAGMTGYCTTTGCACTGGCTTCCTTATGCTGAGGTGGCCTTCTTCTCCTTCTAGAATATACTTGTAGTTCCTGCCCCCTTGTGCCTCTAACAATCTCTCTCCCCAAACCCCCAAGACACCCCCCCCCCCAAACCCCAGTGAAGGCGAGATTCAATCCCAAGCACCTGCTATACCATCCAGGTACCTTACCAGCAAGCTAGTCGGTAACTCCCTAGTGTAACTAGTTAGCTACTTCTTTCCTTATCTTTAGTTTTCCTATAATTTCTTACCACTGAAATCTCTGTTCAGCAGCATTATCATAGAACTAGTTATGATATTTTACCTTTCGTCCTTAACTCTCCATCTTAAATTTCTATCTAATCTTGCATTTTGATATTCTGGTGTATACACATTGGTCCATTATCATTCTACATCAAATTGGACGATCTCAGAATCCATCTTAAAAATCACTTTGCCGTTTGTATGTAAGGCTCTACCGCTCTAGTTACCCTAATAAAATAGCAGACTCCATGGACCATCAAATTCATTTAGCATCCACTCAATGATGATCTATGTGTCTGTATTAGAAAGTGAGAAGAAACCACCCTTAAACAAGATAAAGATGTCCATAAGTTTGGCAGCATGGGGACAGTCCACAAGTCCACATTTCCATTGCTAGGGCATTAAAGGCATCAATGTCAACATCAAGAGTCTTAAAGAATGAGGGAGAGAATACACTTTTCAAGTTAGATAACCAGACATGATAACTTGTCACCTCCTACTCTGTAACTTTTTTTTTCTTTTTAAGAAAATTTCTTTTATTTATTCATCCAAAAAAAAAATTTCTAACCATTTGGGTCCAAAAAGGCATCCTTTAGTCAGTCTATGAGTCAGCATAAAGGCTTTCTACTGATCAAAAATAGGTGGTGATTATACTTGAAGGTGCAAAACACAAAGACAGAGGTGCAAAATCAATAGGGGTGCAACTTGGGCAAGTAGCTCAAGCCAACAATGTACATGGGCAGATGAGCTGCGCTTGGATGACTTTGGCTGAACCTGAGCCTGGAAGGAGGTTCCAGTAAGGGTTGCTGAATTGAGATGAAAACATGTCCCTTCTAGAACTTCTCGCCCAGTAAACCCCCTCGATCCCAAGCAACCCACCTGGACCCAAGCCTGAGCCCAATCCAAGTGTTAAATTTTAGCTCAAGCTAAGCTGGGTTTAGTTTTCTAGCTTGGACTTTACCTCAGGCGCAGTCTAGGCTTGGGCCCTTGGGTAGGGGTGCAACTTGGGTGGGCGAAGGTTGATCTTTTGTCAACATTTGAATGGGTCCGACCCAAAGGCCCAAGCCTGAAGCGATGTAAAATGCAAAACTGGGCCAACCTGAGTTGCATTCCTACCCTTGGCCTTGGGCCAGGTATCAGGGATGGACCTAGGTTAACCATCATCATCATCCAAGCCTTATCCCACCCATATGGGTCAGCTATATGAATTCTGTTTCACCATTCCATTCTGTTTTAGGCCATAAAATATTTATAGAACAAAGTAATCAGAATTAGTAGCACAAAAATCATCTATAGAACTTACATCATCAAATTGAAAATAAACAGATTGATTTAGATAACTAGATCACCTATTAACATAAATGGCATGTTAATAGAATGCAAAACCGCATGGAAGACCAAAAAAACATTTTTATACTATTTAATCATAGCCTGGACCAATATTTAATCATATAATCATCAAATGGCCCATCTGATGAAACCATTGGACTTCAGAAAGAATAAACATCAAAGACCAGTCCTAGCTTCAACCACCCTTCAAGTTTCATCTGACTGCTATCTAGAAACTCACCCAATGAGTGGCTTGGATTAACTTAGAATCTTACCCTTTTTGAAAAGATCTGGAGGGTGGGAAGATCAGTAATTAGCCTAGACCTTGATTTGGCAACCCATAAAAGCAACATTATCCACACATCACCCATTTTATTAGAACCCCTTTACCCATTTTTAATCTCAAGCCTCAAATTCATAACTCAATTACCTCTCCTATTTCCTTTATTAACCATACCAGTCCCAAAATAACCAAGAATCCCCCCTCGACAACCAGCCTTCCAACTTCAACATCTAAAACCACCATTGGAGCTAATAAAACAAGTGTTTTCTTATCCTTTGTAATCCAAGTGTTTCTTGTCTTATCCTCTCTGTAGTACATTTTCTCATGTACCTATTAAACAAGATAAATCCATACAAAATTTGAGCAAATAGGCAAAAGAATATAGAAAATAGTTAGAACAACCAAAAACCTGTCATTTCTACCCATTAAACCTTACTTCCCTCACTCCCTAAATTCCTACCTCACTTGAATCTTTCCCTAATCTTTTTTTTTTTTTTTTTGAGAAGAGATAAAGTATTGATTCAATAAGAAAAAGAGAAAAAGAGAAAAAGGCACATGTACACCCAGAGGATTGGGGAATACAATCAAACATTAGACCACTATCCCATTTATCATTATAAAAAGGTTTTCAAAATGAAAGAGAAAATTCAGAGGAACACTATTTCTTGATAGATGTGCAGATGACCAGGATAGCAGTTCCCAAACTAGTTTTTGCCACACTTCCTCTTCTTGACAGCCTTTACTTCGAAAGAGACTTGAGTTCCTTTCCTACCAAATTGACCAGAAAACTGCTCCTGAGACCATTTTCCATAGAGTTTTCCCTCTCTTACTCAGACCATGTGTTCACCAGCCTTTTATACAAAAGCTTCCACTGATGCAGGGCAGCAGCTTTTAATGGCGAAAATTCTAAAGATTTTCACCATATGTTGTATGTAAAACTGCAATGCAGCAACAGGTGATCAGCTGACTCTTCTGATCTATTACATAATAACACACAAACAGGTGAGTCAATCGAAACTCCCCTCCTGATCAGGTTGTCTTTTGTAAGAATCTTGTTCAGATAGGCAGACCAAACAAAGAAAGCCACCTTTTAAGGGATAAAAACTTACTCCAGATTACATGCCAAGGGACATCCTGTCATTAGGGCTGTTCACGGGTCGGGTCGGTTTACTGATGTTTTTCCAACTGACCCGACCTGGTCGGGTTACCTGAAATTGAAACCGAAACCGACCCTGTGTTAAGCAAAACCGACCTGATCGGTTTGAGTCAGTTTGGGTCGGTTTCAGCTTTACTTAGTGGTGACTTAGTTGCTGTTCAAGTGTTCATTCTGGCTCTACATTCCCAAAGGAAAC